TTACCTGTAGTTTCAATGGCGGTTCAAACTCGCGCAAGTAGGAAAAGGAGTGAAGAAATTAAGTCACTTTCTTACCCCGTATGGAAGAATTAGATTTGAGTAAAGATTCATTTCTAAGGCGCAGAATGCATGCCGTACTTTACAGACAATCAGAGACAGAGTTGAGACTGGTTCAGTAGAAAAGGTGAAATCTAGGTCAGTTAAGTATGAGCGAATTAATGGCCTGATCTATAGGGTTTGCCTCCATAGCAAGGACGAACATGAACTCAATAACATGCAGTTAGTTATCCCTGCAGTATATAGGGACAAAGTTCTTCAGCTTGCCCATGATTCTTTGACTGCAGGTCATTTTTCACACCGAAAACCAGCTTGAAAGTTTTGAAAATTTCTTTTGGCCAGGTGCTGGGGCAGATATAAAGAGATATTGCAAATCTTGTCACATATGTCAGAAGGTATCACCTAAGGGGCGAGTTAAAAGGGTACCAATGAAAACTGTTCCTGTAATACAAGAGCCATTCTCAAGGGTAGCTATTGACATTGTAGGACCACTCTCTCCTAGCTCTGACCGAGGACATAGATATATTTTAACTCTAATTGATTGTGCTACACGCTATCCTGAAGCTATTCCTCTTAAGAATATTGACACCATTACTATTGCCGAAAGCTTAGTAGACATTTTCTCGCGTGTTGGTATTCCCAGGGAGGTGTTGTCAGATCGAGGAACACAATTTCGATCCGATCTCATGAGCGAAATTCATAGACTATTGTCAATTAAAGCTCTCTACACTACGCCTTACCATGCTAGCTGTAATGGAATGGTAGAACGACTTAACGGGGTCCTGAAATCAATGTTGAAGAAGCTATGTTCTGTTCATCCACGTGACTGGGATCGCTATATACCCGCAACTCTTTTTGCATACAGGGAAATGCCAAACGATTCTCTTAAATTTTCACCGTTTGAATTGTTATATGGGAGAACGGTGAGAGGTCCTTTGAATATATTACATGAACTTTGGTCGAATAATGAAATCAACCATGAAGTAAAGAGTACATATCAATATGTTACGGACCTTAGAACACGTCTTGAAGAGACTGCTAAATTAGCTGCTGCTAAAGCAGAAATCAGTAGCCGAAATTATAAATACTATTATGACCTTAAAGCTAAACATAGAAAATTAGAAGTAGGTGATGAAGTTCTTGTTCTCTTGCCAACTGACCACAACAAATTGATAATGCAATGGCAAGGACCTTACCCAGTAGTATCATGTAAGGATAATGGTGTAGATTATTCTATCAAAGCTCATGGAAAGAACAAATTATTCCAATGTTGAAAAAGTATTATCGACGCGAAAGTATCTCTTCTAAAGAAAAAGTTGTACAGGTTTGTGTTGTTGAGGAAAGTAACACTGAAAATCAACCAATGTATTGTGAATCTAGCATTACCAGTTTGAATGATAAAGAATTAAATGTTAATGAAGGTCTTTCTAGTGAACAAGTCAATGATGTAAAATATTTGATAACTGATTTTTCTGACGTATTTTCCGATGTTCCAGGACATACTAAATCAATTGAGCATGTAATTAAACTTGAATCAAATGTACCTGTGAGCAAGAAACCATTCCCCATACCACATCATCTCGTATTGGTATTTGACAAGGAAGTAGATCGGATGCTTAAGCTAGGCATAATAGAGCCTTCTAATTCACCATACTGCTCACCCGTTGTGCTTGTCCGAAAATCTGACCAAACCTGGAGGTTCTGTATTGACTTCCGTGGTTTAAATGATATAACCTCTTTTGACTGTGAACCTATGCCTACAATTGAAGATGCTTTAGGTAACTTTTCAAATGACGTATACTTTTCAGAATTAGACCTTACAAAAGGCTATTGGCAAATTCCTCTTTCTAAAGTCTCTAAAATCTATACAGCTTTTGCCACAAGCAGAGGTTTAATGCAATTTGTTATGATGCCTTTTGGTTTAAAAACTGCGTGTGCCACTTTTGTGCGGTTAATGAGGATAGTAACCTGTGGACTTAAAAACACTGATTGCTATTTTGACAATATTGTTGTTCACAATTCTAACTGGTCTGAACACTTGCAGGATTTGAGAGAACTCTGAACAGGTTGCGGTTGCATGGTCTGACGGCTGGGATCAGTAAGTGCTACTTTGGTTATCCCAAGATCAAATACCTTGGTTTGCTACTCGGAGACAACGCCCTCACTCCCCTTGATGTAAGAGTGAAATCTATATCAGAAATGCCTTTTCCTAATACAAAAAAGGAGTTAAGATCTTTCCTTGGAACAGTAAGCTTTTATAGGAAGTTCATTCCCAATTTCTCAGATACTGCTGCTCCTTTAAATGATATGCTTAAAAAGTTAAGTAGCAATAAACTTAAATGGAGTGATGTCCAGATTGATAGCTTTCAAAGTCTAAAAGCAAAACTCTCTAATAATCCTGTACTTTGCTTACCTGACTATAAGAAGACCTTTTATTTGAGAACTGATGCTTCTGATAATGGTTTAGGTGCTGTACTCCTCCAAGATGTTAATGACATGAAAATGCCCATTGCTTATGCCAGCCGTAAATTATTGGAAAGGGAGCGAAATTATGCAACCATAGAGAAAGAATGCCTTGCTATTATCTGGGCAGTGGATAAATTTAAGAACTATTTGTTTGGTAAAGAATTTGTCTTGCAGACAGATCAGCAACCATTAACGTACTTGAGGAATATGAAGAATTCTAATGGCAGATTAATGCGTTGGTCTCTCATCCTTCAGTGTTACTCATACAGAATTGAGTATATCAAAGGCAACGATAATATTGGTGCTGATTTACTTAGTCGTTGTCCTGTATAAATATGTATGTTAATGTGATGCCATTGCTACTATGCATAATAAAATCTGAAGTTTTATCTTGGTAAAGGGGAATTGTAAAGGATTTCAGTAGAATGGACAACATATTTATCTTCTAAATATCCTTATTTCATTTATTTTTGTTTTTTATAAATATATGATTTGTATGGAATTGTAATGCCGAGCCGAAAAGTATCTCCTTTGTTTTTGCGCATGCGCGGTGGTAGGCTGCTACCCCAATCCTTCGCGGGGGTCGTAGGCCCACTTTGCCCTGACTCTTGCTCGTGTGAGCACTGGTACACCTGCTCGTGAGTAATTTATGGTTTCCTCGAGCACCACATTCAAATAGGCATATTTACTTTGTGTAAAGTAAATGGGAATATATATAAACCTACACCAATTCTTATACTAGATTTTTGTTACAGCCTTTTTATATGATTTTGAAAATCGTCTGATGGAGAGAAACTAGGCCGAACTTGCTGCTTCCCAATCGGCTCCTCCTCACAGACGCTAAGAAAAACATGAAATCTATTTTTCACTTGTAAAGTATGATGCATACTTGAAGAACCATTCTTGTTATATTTGTTAATAATACATGTTATATTGATCAAATACATCTTTTGATTTTAAATCCTTGTGAACTGTACTGACTTGACGACTTCTGATTCCTCCGATTCTAAAAAGAAATGAAACAAAAAGAAAACGAACCACGTACAATGGCGCAGTGAGTAGGATCGGAGTGCTAAGGTCGAAAGTTCCGTCAGTCATACTGTTCACATGGATCTTAAAGTCATGATTCTAACATGTTGTATTTTTAAGGTGTTTGTGACACGTTCATGTTATGCTGAACTGCTTGATGGTTATTGAAGATGTGGTGAGTTATTGTGAACCCCGATGCATGCAACAAGGGAGATACAGGTGAGGCAAGTGGTATGATCGTAATTTTGTGCAGTGTACTCTTTAAGAGTTGTATTTCACTGGTTCTTTTATATTACGATTTTTTTTTTTTTTTGAAGTTGTGCATCACTTCGTGATTAGTTACGTTGCAGGTCCGCTACGTGCCCTGTTGTTTTGCGGTACCGCGTAACTTGGCGCCGGCTGTGATGCTGTGCTAGCTTTGAGCCGTGTATGCCACATGGAACGAGTTTCCCCCTTGTTTGCAGGTGCCCATGCCTTGTTAGTGTATAACCGTTTGTTTTCGGAGCTTGTTTTTACACTCGGGCACAGATACCGATGCTATGTATTTACTCATATAACATGAGATTGTTTTTGTTTATTAATTCATACTGTTATTAACTGTTAACGTATAATCGTGGATGATGAGTTACATTGTAGATATAATGAAAGAGGCCCAGGCCTTGGGTATGGATTCTGAACAAGTTTCTAAGTTGATTCAGGAAGAACAAAAGTCCGCTAAAGAGAAGGCTGACCGGGAAGAACGCGCGGCTGAACGTGAGCTTAAGAGATGTCAGTTGCAATCCGAAGAGGCCGATAAACAACGCGCTCATGATAAATCTATGGCTGAATTACGGCTTCAGAATGCTTTCGAGGGCAATAGTAATTCCGTTCTCGGTAATAATGATTCACTACAGATTTATGAAGGGTTAAAGTTACCGACTTTTAATGATGGTCAAGATGACATTGATAGTTACTTACAACGCTTTGAAAGATTTGCAAAGTTACATAAGTGGAATAAGGAAGATTACCACGTGTACTTGGGCTCATTACTTAGAGGTCACGCGCTTAAAGTTTACGTATCGTTGCCTGATGATACCGTAAGTAATTACGAAAAGCTGAAGGAAGCTTTGCTTAGAGCTTTTCCGTGGACGCCGACATGTACAGACGTAAATTTCGGGAAAGTAAATGTCAGGATAGAGAGACGTACGTCCAGTTGGTTGCTCGAATGGAACAATATCTCGAACGGTGGATCTCCCTGAGCAATATTTCAAAAGATTTTAATTCACTCTTTGATTTTTTAATAAGGGAACAACTACTTAGTAACTGTAATTCTGATATGAGAATCTTTTTGAAGGAACGTGAGTTTGTAACTGCAGTAGAGATGGCAGAGTCGGCTGACCGATTTCGGAGCGCACACTTGTACCGCGGTAAGAGAACTAATCAGACTCCAATCTTCAAAGCCCCAGTCAGTTAAGGAAGGTAATTCTGAGATGACATGTCATGGATGTGGAAAGGTCGGTCACATTAGACCTAACTGCCCCGACAATCCGAGAAATTATAAGAGTAAAAGTAGTTCAGTTAAAGTTAATTTTGTCTTTGAAACTGAGCTGACTCCAAAGAATTGTATGCTTGATCCCAATGGCTATATTTGATAAACCTGCGGAGGTGATGCTAGATTCTGGATGCTCATCCATTATTGTTAAGGAGTCGTTAGTTCCCTCCAAATATAAGCTAGGTAAATTTGTGAAAGTGTACGACTATTTAGGCATTCCTAATTATTTCCCGCAAGTTAGATGTCTTATTAAAAGTAAATTTTATACTGGTTGGACAAAAGCAATAGCAGCTCCTATAAAATTTGCCGATGTTTTAATTGGCCTTATTCCAGGTGTGAAATTGCCAACTGAACCCTATCCTCCTGATGATCCAAGCCTTCCTGTACCTGATAAAGCTGACCTTCCACCCTCAATCCTTCCTAACCATCTTGATGCTAAGGACCCAAGCAGTCTGATTCATCCTGAGACTTCCTCTCCTATCCTCACCCCCTTTATTGACAACCAGGTATGTACAGCAAGCTCTGACGTAAAAAAAACGGAGGCGCGTTTACCTGTAGTTTCAATGGCGGTTCAAACTCGCGCAAGTAGGAAAAGGAGTGAAGAAATTAAGTCACTTTCTTACCCCGTTATGGAAGAATTAGATTGAGTAAAGATTCATTTCTTAAGGCGCAGAATGCATGCCGTACTTTACAGACAATCAGAGACAGAGTTGAGACTGGTTCAGTAGAAAAGGTGAATCTAGGTCAGTTAAGTATGAGCGAATTAATGGCCTGATCTATAGGGTTTGCCTCCATAGCAAGGACGAACATGAACTCAATAACATGCAGTTAGTTATCCCTGCAGTATATAGGGACAAAGTTCTTCAGCTTGCCCATGATTCTTTGACTGCAGGTCATTTTTCACACCGAAAAACCAGCTTGAAAGTGTTTGAAAATTTCTTTTGGCCAGGTGCTGGGGCAGATATAAAGAGATATTGCAAATCTTGTCACATATGTCAGAAGGTATCACCTAAGGGGCGAGTTAAAAGGGTACCAATGAAAACTGTTCCTGTAATACAAGAGCCATTCTCAAGGGTAGCTATTGACATTGTAGGACCACTCTCTCCTAGCTCTGACCGAGGACATAGATATATTTTAACTCTAATTGATTGTGCTACACGCTATCCTGAAGCTATTCCTCTTAAGAATATTGACACCATTACTATTGCCGAAAGCTTAGTAGACATTTTCTCGCGTGTTGGTATTCCCAGGGAGGTGTTGTCAGATCGAGGAACACAATTTCGATCCGATCTCATGAGCGAAATTCATAGACTATTGTCAATTAAAGCTCTCTACACTACGCCTTACCATGCTAGCTGTAATGGAATGGTAGAACGACTTAACGGGGTCCTGAAATCAATGTTGAAGAAGCTATGTTCTGTTCATCCACGTGACTGGGATCGCTATATACCCGCAACTCTTTTTGCATACAGGGAAATGCCAAACGATTCTCTTAAATTTTCACCGTTTGAATTGTTATATGGAGAACGGTGAGAGGCCCTTTGAATATATTACATGAACTTTGGTCGAATAATGAAATCAACCATGAAGTAAAGAGTACATATCAATATGTTACGGACCTTAGAACACGTCTTGAAGAGACTGCTAAATTAGCTGCTGCTAAAGCAGAAATCAGTAGCCGAAATTATAAATACTATTATGACCTTAAAGCTAAACATAGAAAATTAGAAGTAGGTGATGAAGTTCTTGTTCTCTTGCCAACTGACCACAACAAATTGATAATGCAATGGCAAGGACCTTACCCAGTAGTATCATGTAAGGATAATGGTGTAGATTATTCTATCAAAGCTCATGGAAAGAACAAATTATTCCATATAAATATGTTGAAAAAGTATTATCGACGCGAAAGTATCTCTTCTAAAGAAAAAGTTGTACAGGTTTGTGTTGTTGAGGAAAGTAACACTGAAAATCAACCAATGTATTGTGAATCTAGCATTACCAGTTTGAATGATAAAGAATTAAATGTTAATGAAGGTCTTTCTAGTGAACAAGTCAGTGATGTAAAAATATTTGATAACTGATTTTTCTGACGTATTTTCCGATGTTCCAGGACATACTAAATCAATTGAGCATGTAATTAAACTTGAATCAAATGTACCTGTGAGCAAGAAACCATTCCCCATACCACATCATCTCGTATTGGTATTTGACAAGGAAGTAGATCGGATGCTTAAGCTAGGCATAATAGAGCCTTCTAATTCACCATACTGCTCACCTGTTGTGCTTGTCCGAAAATCTGACCAAACCTGGAGGTTCTGTATTGACTTCCGTGGTTTAAATGATAACCTCTTTGACTGTGAACCTATGCCTACAATTGAAGATGCTTTAGGTAACTTTTCAAATGACGTATACTTTTCAGAATTAGACCTTACAAAAGGCTATGGCAAATTCCTCTTTCTAAAGTCTCTAAAATCTATACAGCTTTTGCCACAAGCAGGTTTAATGCAATTTGTTATATGATGCCTTTTGGTTTTTAAAAACTGCGTGTGCCACTTTTGTGCGGTTAATGAGGATAGTAACCTGTGGACTTAAAAACACTGATTGCTATTTTGACAATATTGTTGTTCACAATTTCTAACTGGTCTGAACACTTGCAGGATTTGAGAGAACTTCTGAACAGGTTGCGGTTGCATGGTCTGACGGCTGGGATCAGTAAGTGCTACTTTGGTTATCCCAAGATCAAAATACCTTGGTTTGCTGCTCGGAGACAACGCCCTCACTCCCCTTGATGTAAGAGTGAAATCTATATCAGAAATGCCTTTTCCTAATACAAAAAAGGAGTTAAGATCTTTCCTTGGAACAGTAGGCTTTTATAGGAAGTTCATTCCCAATTTCTCAGATACTGCTGCTCCTTTAAATGATATGCTTAAAAAGTTAAGTAGCAATAAACTTAAATGGAGTGATGTCCAGATTGATAGCTTTCAAAGTCTAAAAGCAAAACTCTCTAATAATCCTGTACTTTGCTTACCTGACTATAAGAAGACATTTTATTTGAGAACTGATGCTTCTGATAATGGTTTAGGTGCTGTACTCCTCCAAGATGTTAATGACATGAAAATGCCCATTGCTTATGCCAGCCGTAAATTATTGGAAAGGGAGCGAAATTATGCAACCATAGAGAAAGAATGCCTTGCTATTATCTGGGCAGTGGATAAATTTAAGAACTATTTGTTTGGTAAAGAATTTGTCTTGCAGACAGATCAGCAACCATTAACGTACTTGAGGAATATGAAGAATTCTAATGGCAGATTAATGCGTTGGTCTCTCATCCTTCAGTGTTACTCATACAGAATTGAGTATATCAAAGGCAACGATAATATTGGTGCTGATTTACTTAGTCGTTGTCCTGTATAAATATGTATGTTAATGTGTTGCCATTGCTACTATGCATAATAAAATCTGAAGTTTTATCTTGGTAAAGGGGAATTGTAAAGGATTTCAGTAGAATGGACAACATATTTATCTTCTAAATATCCTTATTTCATTTATTTTTGTTGTGTTTATATATATATGATTCGTATGGAATTGTAATGCCGAGCCGAAAAGTATCTCCTTTGTTTTTGCGCATGCGCGGTGGTAGGCTGCTACCCCAATCCTTCGCGGGGGGTCGTAGGCCCACTTTGCCCTGACTCTTGCTCGTGTGAGCACTGGTACACCTGCTCGTGAGTAATTTATGGTTTCCTCGAGCACCACATTCAAATAGGCATATTTACTTTGTGTAAAGTAAATGGGAATATATATAAACCTACACCAATTCTTATACTAGATTTTTGTTACAGCCTTTTTATATGATTTTGAAAATCGTCTGTTGGAGAGAAACTAGGCCGAACTTGCTGCTTCCCCAATCGGCTCCTCCTCACAGCAATTCACGCTAAGAAAAACATAAAATCTATTTTTCAAGAGGGAGAGGGACGGAGGAGGGAGGGGAGGAGGGAGGAGGGGAGGGGAGAGAAAGGGGGAGAAGGAGAGAGAGGAGGGGAGGGAAGAGAGAGGGAGGGGAGGGGAAGGAGGGAGGGAGAGGGGAGAGAGAGGAGGAGCGGAAAAGATGGGGAGGGAGAGGGAGGAGAGAGAGCGGGAGGGGAGGGGGGAGAGAGAGAGAGGATGCGGGAGGGGAGGGAGGAGAGCGATGGGGGAATAGGAGAGAGAAGGGGGAGGTGGGCGAGGGAGAGGGAGGGGAGAGAGGGGTGGTTTGGGAGAGAAAAGGGGGTGGGGAGGGGGTAGAGAAGGGGGAGGGAGGGAGAGAGAGGGGGATTGAGGGAGAGGTGGAGAGAGAGGGGAGAGGGAGGGGAGAGGGGAGGAAGAGGGGGAGGGAGGGGGAGAGGGAGGGGGATGCGAGGGGAGGAGGGAGAGAGAGGCTGCGAAGGAGGAGGAGGGGGGAGGGGAGAGAGAGAGGACTGAGAGGGGATGAGGGAGGGAGACCGAGGGGGATGAGGGGAGAGAGAGGAGGGGAGAGAGGAGGAGGAGAGGGAGAGAGATGGAGAGAGGAAGGGAGATGAATGGAGCCGAGAAGGAGGAGAGAGGAGGAGAAGGAGAGAGAGAGAAGGGAGAGAAGGAGACGAGAGATGAGGAGAGAGGAGAGAGAAGAAGAGAGAGGAAGAGAGATGAGAGAGGAGAGGAGGAAGAGAGAGAGGGAGAAGAGAGGAGAGCGAGAGAGAGAGAGGAGGACGAGAGGAGGGGAGGAGAGAAAGAGAGACAAGAGAGAGAGAGAGAGAGGAGATGAGAAGAAATGGAGAAGAGAGAGGGAGAGACGAGAGAGGAGAGAGAGAGAGAGAGAGAGAGAAGGAAGAGAGAGAGAGAGAAGAAGAGGAGAGAGAGAGAGAGAGAGAGAAGAGAGAGATAGAGGAGAGAGAAGAGAGAGAGAGAGAGAGAGAGAGAAGAGAGAGAAGAGAGGAGGGAGGAAGAGGAGAGAGAATTAGAGAGAGGAAGAGGAGAGAGAGAAGGAGGATGAGGAGAGAGAGAGAGAGAGAGAGAGAGAGAAGAGAGAGAGAGAAGAGAGAGAGAGAGAGAGAGACTTAGACAGAGACAAAACAGCCGGACAAACCGAAAAAAAGATGTAGAAAAAGAAAAGAAAAAAACATTCCCTAATAGAGTCTGATACGAAAGGAAAGGTTAATGGAAAACCTTGATAAATAATAGATCAAAGAATTGGAAAGACGCAAAGAAACTAAAGAGAGACAAACTAAAAAGAAATACATAAAGAATTGAAAATGAAAATGAAAAAAGACTAAGGGAAAGAGAAACAAGGAAAATCATTTTTCAAAAAATTAAAAGAACATGGGAGGAAATGAGAGAGAGAGAGAGAGAGAGAGAGAGAGAGAGAGAGAGAGAGAGAGAGAGAGAGAGAGAGAGAGAGAGAGAGAGAGAGAGCGAGAAGAGAGAGAGAGAGAGAGAGAGAGAGAAAGGGGGGGAGGAAAAAGAGAGGAGGCAGAGAGAGGCAGAGAAGAGAAAAGAAGGAGGCAAGAAAGAGGAAAGAAGGAGGCAGAGAAGAGGAAAAAGATAGGAGCAGAGAAGAGGGAAAAAAGAGAGGAGGCAGAGAAGAGGGAAAAAGAGAGGAGGCAGAGAAGAGGGAAAAAGAGAGGAGGCAGAGAAGAGGGAAAAGAGGGAGAGGGGGGGGGGGCCTATGAACAAGCTAGGATTCATCGCACAGCCCATGCTGCGGCCGTCGCCACGTCACTGCCCTTATCTACATATGCAGATTAGCAAGAACAAATTAAGTCGGTGTGCATGCGTGTACGTCCACGTGTGTGTGTGTGTCCCAGCGGAAATGTGCGTGTACGTCCACGTGTGTGTGTGTCCCAGCGAATACGTACGTGTACCAGCCGCGTGTGCGTGTATCTCTGAACGCCTGTGTGTGTGCCGATTCCTTTGGGTCTTTCTTCCTACTTCTATATCTGCTTCCGTGTTTATTAGTGTGCTTGTGCGTGTCCGTGTGTGTGTGCGTGTGCGTGTGCGCGAATGTATACAGGCGCGAGTCCTTAATGGCTTTCCTTTTCTTATAGATAACTCAAGCACCCTCATTTATTCATAATTTTGTGTCTACTTGCTTTCGTCACAATCTTTTCATTACAGAATAACAATAACAATGATAAGGAGGAGGAGGATAAAAAAAATGAATGAACAGTAATGCCGATAATGATAATCTGTTACTATCTTTATCATTAACCTCATTATCATCCTTTTCATTAATTCTTACTATCGGGAATTTGTTGTCATTTCTTATATCATCATCATTATGACTACTATTACTATCATTATCAATATTATCATCAATGGTCATCAGCATATGACCATTACCATTATAATCATCAACATAATATACAATGTTACACACATACACATACATACACACACACACGTACGTACGTACATTTACGCTTGCATACACGCACACGCACTCGTTAAAAAATTGTGCATAAGCCGTTAACATCAACACAAACATACCCGTACTCGTCTTTACACATACATACAAATACAATCAAACATACACACCTAAATAAATAAGACACACACACATACGATACACACACACACGACACACACAAACACACGACACACACAAACACACGACACACGCAAACACACGACACACGCAAACACACGACACACAAACAACACGACACACGCAAACACACGACACACAAACACACGACACACACACACGACACACACACACACACACACACACACACACACGACACACACACACACACACACACACACACACACGACACACACAAACACACGACACACACAAAACACACACAACACAAACAACACACACACACACACACACACACACACACACACACACACGACACACACAAACACGACACACACACACGCGACACACACACAACACACACAAACACACGACACACACAAACACACGACACACACACACACACACACACACACACACACACACACAAACACACGACACACACAAACACACGACACACACACACACACGACACACACAAACACACGACACACAACACACACAAACACGCGACACACACAAACACGCGACACACACAAACACGCGACACACACAAACAACACACACAAACACACGACACACACAAACACACGACACACACAAACACACGACACACACACACACACGACACACACAAACACACGACACACACAAACACACCTAAACCCATACGAGACGAGCCTTGGCAAAAAAAAAAAAAAAAAAAAAGAACAACGAACATATTCGAAACGCGCGCCACACGAGTCTCTGTCGCATGCCAATCGGGCGGAAGTTACAGAGCGATATCATTGGCTATTGCAGCAAGCATTAATCAGGATACTGGTACTTGCTAGTCGGAAAGGACTATGTGCACAGTTATAGACTTCGTTAATCCGCTTTCGCTACTTGTACTTGTACTTGTACTTGTACTTGTACCTACTTGTACTTGTACTTGTACTTGTAACTTGTACTTGTACTGTACTACTTGTACTTGTACTTGTACTCACATATTGACATATAAAAGGTATATATACACGGACATGACACTTGTGTATACATGCATAAACTTTTATACACAAGACACACACAGATTCATATATAAACACAAACACACACAAATTCATATATAAACACAAACGCACACAAATTCATATATAAACACAAACACACACAGATTCATATATAAACACAAGCACACACAAATTCATATATAAACACAAGCACACACAAATTCATATATAAACACAAGCA